TCTGAGGACAAAGAACACACAAGCACACAGTGCCTCAGTGATTCACAGAAGTATATCACAGATCACAGAACTACATCAGGGTGTCTCATGCAGCACTTTCAGTGGGGTTGCATAGTTTATTTGACTCCTGATACCTGGCATCTTTTAGCTTTCACCAGCTCATCAATATCAGACTTCACATCCTGAGCGGCAGCTAACTTCAGGATGTGATTCAAGTGCCTGTGCGTGAGCCTTGAGCGCAGTTTTGTTTTATTTATGCTCATTACAGAGAAACCTTGCTCACAAAGATATGTGGTTCCGAACATGCACAACAGTTTTGCAGCGAGGGCTGTCAAGTTGGGGTAACCTGGCAAGAGATTCTGATAGAATGTGTTCAAGCCAGCTGCGGCAAATTGGCCCTTCAAATCCGAGTCGCACTGCAAGTCAAGATTTCAAGTTGGATCCTGACGGGCAGATCAAAGGGATTCACGGTGAACGGTGAGCAAAAAACTTTGAAGTCTTTCTCCAGTTCACCAAAAATCTGAAATCGTTGCTCAAACTCTAGTAACAGTCCCGTTATTTTATCTTTAAACCGCTTCATATCTGCCACACTTTGGTTTGTGCACACATTTTTCAGACAGCGGAAGTGAGCTGCATCACCACCAGCGAGCTGCGCCTCCCACAATAACAGCTTCAACTTGAAAGAACGTATGCCGTCATAATACTGCGTGACAACTTTGTTGCGTCCTTGCAGCTGTTTTTTCAAGTTACTCAGGTGCTCTGTAACATCCACCATAAATGCAAGGTCCTGCATCCATTCTGCGCAATGAAATTCTAACACTGGTTTGCCCTTTTCTTCCATAAACTGTTCAATTTCTTCTCGTAAATCAAAGAAACGCCTCAGCACAGCACCTCGGCTCAACCATCTTACCTCAGTGTGGTATGGCAGGCCATAGATGTGGTCTTTCTCTCTGAGAAGACTGTCAAACTGACCGTGATTGAGGCCTCTGGATCGGATGAAATTAACAGTTTGGATGACCACCTTCATGACGTTATCCATTTTCAGTGACTTGCAACACAAAGCCTCCTGGTGCAAAATACAGTGAAAAGTCCAAAAATCACGTCCTCCATTTGCAGATTGCACTTTATCTCTGAACTTTTTTACAACGCCTGCTTTCTTCCTGATCATTGAGGGCGCACCATCTGTAGTCAGGCTGACAGCACGGGACCAGTCCACTCCGACCCTGTCCAGCTCGCCAACGAGTGCGGTGAAAATATCAGCTGCGGTCGTTGTATCTGTCATCGGTACCAACTCCACGAACTCCTCGGTGACGGTCAATGTGTCATCAACTCCACGGATGAAAATTGCCAGTTGTGCAACATCTGTAATGTCCGTGCCTTCATCAATTGCAACTGAAAACACAATAAATGACTTTATTTTTT